GGGTCCTGCGCAACTGAGATCAAAGGGAAAAAGGCCCTAAATCAATATGAAGGCCCCTGAGCATCGAGTGGCTCGGTGCCTTACCATACATAGGCCCAAGCAACAGTGCAAGGTCCTTCGAGCCGGTGAAAAGAGCCCGAGAACAATATGGAGGGCCATTGAGCATTGAGTGTTCCCCGCCATATGGGGCCCCGGCAAAAGAGTATAGAGCTTTTCGGGCGAATGAGAAGAGTCCGTGGAGGGCCCCCGACCGATCGAGAGTGCCCAGACATGTTAGCAGATAGTGCCCCAACAGCAGTGTAGGGTCCTGTTATGAGATGCATTTTCTGTTGTGAGAAAATGCACATAGATCGAGGGCAACAGGGAAGGGGTCCTAGCGATTGGATCGGCAAGGGGACAAATAGGTCCTTTTGAAATAGCGTAGAGTCTCTCTACAGAGTCATGACCCCTAAAATCTCCCAGTCACCACCCCCTGAATCAGTGAAAGTCCGCTCTTGAGCCCTTTAATTTTGCTTTAGATTGGTCTTGGTCGCCTGGAGGCCCAAAGACGTCCAAATTTGTTGTAATTTGTGTTAAAAACTGCGTCTTTTCTGCCGGATATGGGGCCGCTTTGGAAGCCATGATTGCCTCCGAGGCGCAAGGGGGACATGACTCCGTTTCCCCCGATCTGGATCCGCCCTGATCGTGATTGACGTTAACGATCCGATGATTCAACGTTTAGGCGCTTCTTGGAGGGCCTGAACTTCCAATGCCATCAGTTTAACATTTAACAGCGTGTCCCTCCTCGCGGGCTCATTCGCAAAACCGCATATTCATCGACAGCCGTGCAGATCACCAGCATCTTCACTTCCCCAGAGGCTGGTCCACCACCCGTGTCAAGGATCCCCGCTCTGACTGTCGATGGTAACATCAGCAGTACCCGACACGTCCCGTGTCTGCCTTACCCTATAAGTCCCCCTCCGATTTGATAAAACGACTCGCTGTACAGCTCCTTCTGCGGAGGCGCCGATCAGAAGAGGTCGACGACGTGACCCCAGCGCCCAGGGGTCGTCGGTGCGCTCTTTGATCCCCTCAGCGGCAGCGACTCGTGACTCGCACATAAAGCCCAATTAATCAAAGGTCGTGTGCTGTCGAACCATCTCCGGGGGGTGCAGCGGCAGGGAGGTTCCTGTGTCAGGAGGCTGTCACACGGTTGTCCAGCCACGCTCCTATATGAGTCGCCGTCACCAGTTTCAGACTGACAGCTGTCAGAAGGAGTCTGGTGTGGTCTATGGACTAGGGCATTGACGGGTGGTCTGAGCGCTCCCATGACGCCCTTGCAATCGTGTGCTACGGCCATCTGGCAAAATGAGTGATTGAAGAAGTGTATCCGACTCTCTTCTTATTTGCATCCATCTAGTTCCCATGTCATTTGAGGTAACAATGTTGTTCGGTTTTGTTCCCGCTATAGAGCATCTCTCTCAGTTAATACGTATGGTCTTCTTCTTGTTCCCTCTTCCGCTCGATTACTTCCACGTTGCTGACGTCGGCTTCACAGCCAGTCCGCGCCAGAGGCCAGCGCGACAGGGAGCAGGCTATAACCCTTATAACGTCCACACCACGGCTGGACATCGTAGAGCACCGCTCTCGTCTGCCTTACTACACTCTCGTAAGTCCGTCACTCTCCACCCGACAGCTGGACACGTGACCTGCGCGGGGTCAGAGTGCCGCGCCGTGGCGGCGCGGACGACCCTGTCATCTCAGCTCGCCGGCGGCTGCAGCGCACCGGCCCAGTCACGTGATGACAGGGGCTGCCAGATTTGGCCCGACCGCGACACATGATGACAGGGCTGCCATATTGTGACCGTCGTCGTCACGCCACCCACACAATGGGGCGGCTTTTTACGCGGCCACGCGTGAGTGCCGGCAATTCGGGCCTAATTGCCGCTGAGGGCCGCCGCCGCAGAAAAAGCCGCGCTTACGGGCCCGATGGCGGGTAGTGGGGTCGCCGCGTCCGCCCACGGCCGAGCGGAGACAGCCCTCGCGACTTCACGGCTCCGGCCCGCCACTGGTAGGCCTGGGAAGCTTCCACCCGGGAGCATCGGGCTGTGGGACGCAGCTGTCGGCAGCTGGGGTTAGCTGCGTGCACCCTCTGGTTACAGGGCTCTGTGATAGTGCGTGCGAATGGTGCTGCGAACAAGCTTGAGTTTTATTCTCTTCCCCTGCTTGGATTGATCGCACGCTTCCAACGACTTTTGGAACGTCGCCTTTGAAAAAAGTTCGGAAAGGTACCTACATCTGTCGGTGCACCTATCGCGTATTTTGATGCCTGTGTTCCGTCACACAATGCACTAATGCCTAATAATTGCGAATATTTTGCAACACTCTGACATTTTCTTTTTCGTCTTTATAAAGCAGAACGCTTCCATTCCACACGCTGAATTGAGGTCGTGATCTCTCTGGGTTGTTCTCAGTCCAGATGAACTGTCGCCATGCCGCAGAATCCTAGCGAACGTTTCCTAGCAATGCAGTATCACATTTGCATAGCAGGACACGAGCACCACGCCTCATATAGCTGCGATGATACGTCAGCCTGCAGCATCGCTTCACTTACGTAGTTAGCCTGGCAGACATTTCTCTTTTTAATATATACTATCCAGGCCAGCCTGGAAGCAAGCCTGAAAAAGACTCATCTGTCCCCAGGCAAGCAGATAAACAAGGAAGTATCATCCGTATGATACCCATAAGCATACCGCGCGCTATGTCACTCACGTGCTGAAGATGGCCTGTCGGAGTGATTTACTGCGTGCCTCGAGATGACAACGTCGAACAAATCATCCCCCAGTGCTATTCACGGTTCCAAATTGGACAGCAGAATGCAGATACGCCCATTTCAGCCCTAGCTTGACAAGCAGCCTGTCTGACTCAAGGTGAACGGCGTTGTTACCGACGTCATGCTACATGAATGCGAATATTTATCTTCCGGGCGCAAAGTCATTCACTTCAACGTCTCGTCAAAACATTCCGCATTCTTGTGTGTATTAGGCGCGGCCATTATCTCGGGCTGCCCGCCCGTGCCAACTGTTGCAAATTATCCTGGCTCCACTGACAAACTTCCCATCCATAAACTTTAAGAAAAGTACTTTCTGCTCACGTAAAAAGTGAAGTCAAAATGGCGGCCGTTCTCCTAGAACGGTATGTCTTTCAGTTTAAACCGCGCTCCGCCGTATGGAGCAAATTGCATTATTACTTATTCAGCAAATGGCACCAAGATACATAGGCAGGTCATACGACGCAGACCAGAACTATCGTCGCAGACTGGCCTTGGGCGAGACCCATACTGCACATTAAACTCCTCGAGAACGCGGCGTTGTTACCGTTCTAAGCCTTGCTGAGGCGTCTGCGCAAGGAAAGCAAACAAACAAACAAGTAAACGAACAGTCAAACAAATAAACGATGATAGAGAAATGGGTTCAGTTGACGGTTTTCAGCCGGAAGAGAGACCGGCAACGGACAGTCGTGCCTTAGATGTGTGATTTATTATGGATGAGGCCTTAGGCCGACCGACTTTCGCTGAAACAGTGAAAATCAAGCTTCAATGTGAATGGCTTGGCCTGGCCGACACGCCCTCTGGAAGCTAGTATATTTACAGCCACTGACCGCAGCTCGACAAAGTCTACGAAATCAGGGTGAGGAATTCGTTGAAAATTACGTCGGATGCACGCTAAGGGGTCTCTGACAAACTGTTAAGTCAAACGTTTTGTTACTGTAACATGACAATGAAAAGAAAAGAAAAAACAACCGCATCCGATAAACTTGCGAAATGTCGCACTTCCCTGTTGCATGAATCAAACTTCCTAGTTGCATGAAGCTGCTCAGCTCGGGTCAAGACCGGGCTCAGATGTCAGCCAAACGGAGTACCAGCGGCAATGATCTCGAAAAAGGGAGGAACGGCCAGTCGTACTGCCAAACGTGTGGGTCGGTGCGTACAGCTCCGACACACCCCAAGTAGTCGTCACGCGTGCTCTCGAGCGCAGGCCATTCCTCCACGAGCGCTCTCCAGGACGATTATGGCACACTCACAGTCTCTGCAGACGACTTGGCTGCCCGTGAATCTCATCAGTCATCAGCACCTCAGTTTCGTGCGGCAACAGTGGAGGCACCCCGGCGTAGCGTCAAGGTTAAGATTGCATGTGTCTACAGGCCTCGTGCTTTGTCGTTTTGTGTCGTCCATAAATTACGTTACGCATGGAGGAGGACAGAGGGGATGGAGCGCGAGGTTCCGCAACAAGGGATTGAGAGGGGTTTTTAGACAGCGCATCGTTAGGCTCAGTTCGGATTGCAAAAAAGTTCTTAAAAAACTAAACCCTTGAAGCTGGATGCCGTTAGTTCCTCCCATGACAAGGCACCCACCCATTACTTGTTCCGCGTTAGGCGCCAAACGGAAGCAAATTTTTTGGAAGTTAGGCCCAACCCAGCGCAATTAGAGGAAAAGAAGGACGCACCCAGCGTAACCAGTGCGCATCTAAGGCGAGGATGGCCAAAAACGCGCACCGTACTTTATGGACCGCTTCTTCTCAAGAGAGCATCAGACACAAATAATTGTCATAAACAGCCATGCACTGCCAAAAGAGACACCTAATGAAGTTAGAAAAAGAAGCATTCCAACGCTTCTAGTGGAGTTAAATTGCGTCTTCGACTGGTAGAGCTCGCAGTCAACGGGGCGTTTGTCATGCATCATTATTTGCTCCGGCGTTGAAACGACATTTGCTGGGCACGCCGACACTGGTTGGGGCAAGCTGGCTGAGGCGGGTGGCCCGCGCGCGCGTGCGTTGCTGTGTTCTCCTTTTGTTTGACGTGTGCATGTATCTCAGCCGCGGTTTTTATGAATAGTTTTACCCCATTTGACACAGAGTGGTTGAACCTCGTTTTTGTCGTGAATCACCGGAAGACCTCGGAATAAATGAATTAATGAATCCTGTTCACGACACTTCGTCATCGTGATGTGTCAAAAATACGAATATTTCGCGCCCTGAGTCGTTTATTTACAGCAGGTGAAACAAAAAAGAACAATAAAAGACGACTAAGACCAGTCAGGGCAGCACACGTTGCGATATGCAGATAGGTAAAAACGTTCGTCCGCATTCTGCTACTAAGTCCATCAATCACTCGGCGTCTATAAATATTGCATGATCAACGACAATCACACATACACATTGGCAATCACAGATGATGGATGGAACCGACGCATACGTCACGCGCGCCTGCCATCTGGCGGCCATCGAAGGCACTACAAGTCTGCCGCACGGCCGGGCGCGCGCCACTCTTCATGCAGCCCGTCGCCATGGTAACTAGGATGACTACATTAGGTGATGAGCGTGGTGTATGATGTTTGGAGCGGCTCGGCTCCGCTTTTTGCTGTTGCCAAAACTGAACCACGTGCCTGCAAGAAGGTGAAGATGCTTGTTAGTGGTGACAATGCTTCATGACAGGCACAATCAGCAAGCTTGCCACTCTCAAACAAGTTATTTGTACCATGAACTGCTATCAAATATCATAAGCACGAGTTGCATTCAACACATGGATACAGTCATTGAAACAAACAACTCACAAGGAAATGGTATATATTTCATCTTGAGGTCAAACACCTGGAAACATTTTGCTAGGTCTCACTTAATGATCCAAATGTACCTATTTAGTTGAGTATCATCCTAGTTAACTGCAATAGGGTAACTAGGTTAATTCATCTATGTTAGAGTCTTGGAGCTAGAGATGAGTTCAATAACTACAAACAGGCACATGCATGCCTAGCAATAGGCATATGCATACACAATAAGGACAAAAACACTGTTAGGCAAAAGCTGGACATGGGATTTAGCAGCCACAGTACATAGCAGACGTACAACAGGATCGCACTGAGATCGCGCCACGCCCGAGCAGCTGAAACCGGTCACGTTAGGAAAAGCAGTGTCAAAGCGAAGCCAGGCGGAGCGAGTCCAACTGTTAGTGTCGATAGGTGCCGGGAGGTGGCACCACTTGCCTTTGCGCTTGGCGAGCTCTGGGCTCGGCGCGGGGGCGGGACTAGCCTCATTGAGCAGCAACTCAGCCTGCGAGAGCGTCATCTGCTGGCGGTACCGGGGGTGCTGGGCTGCGGAGAGGGCCGGCGTGCGGCCAGGTCAGACCCGACCGGTAGGGAGAAGGTGGGGGGAGGGGGGGGGGGGGGAGTACGAGGGGCGGTGACGGCGGCAGCACCCAGGCAGGCTGCGTGCGGGTCACACCACGCGTGGGGCCACACCAGACAGACGTGCTTGGAGGCTAGGCGGAGCGCGGCGACCCAGCCAGCAGTCCTGGCGGGTCACGCCTCTCCACCGGTCCACCCAGGTGGCGCACACAGCCTCCGGTCACGCCTCACGCGCCCTCTCACCACGGACCAACGGGCCATGTGCACATCTACATCATGCACACTCCTTGCAGCCGTCTCTGGACCCGCCAGCCGCTCTGAGCCTGTCAAAGAATCACCGACGCGGTCCGGGTCAACCGCGCCGGCGCAGAGACTCGGTGCCAGCAGGCACATCCGCCCACCGTGCCGACCTCCTGCTCCACAGCGGGAGCGTGCACACACCCACTCACACAGCAAACCACTCGCAAGCAACACGGGCAGGGCACACCGTGCACCAGCGGACCGCGGCCGAGGAGCTCCGCGCCGGCGGTATTCACAGCAGTCTGCCGCGAGGTTAGCACCGCGCCCACAGCGGCAGCTCGACGCTGCCCCACCGGGGAGTGCGGCCAGCCAGCCGGCCTCCTCCAGCCGCCCAGCCTCACGCCCGACACTCACTTTTCGGCTTCTTGGGCGTGTTCTGGTGGTTGCGGGCGGCGATCTGCGCCAGCCGACGGAACTTGTCCGACACGCGGAAGCCGTTCTCGTGGTCGCGGCACACGCGGATCCGCTCCTCGCTGCGGGTCCCGACCGGAAGTGTCAGCCTCTGGCTCTGACGCCGCCACGGGCCCGACGGCGGGCGGCGCTCGGCGGGGACAGACTGCGCTACAGGCGGTGACGTCACGACACTCACCGAGACATCACGCGCGTCGCCCGCCTCTTCAGCGTTCAGTAATGATAGCGGTTACTTTGGCTCACAGCCATCTCGCCCGCTGGCTGACACACGGCCAACAAATGTGTCGGCAGACGCCAATCCAGTGTCGGCAGACGCCAAGCGCGCCAAGAAGCCAGCCGGCGTTCTGCGCGCCACGTCCTCTCCCAGCTCTCACCGGAACTTGAGCATCCACCGCAGCTTCTCGTCCTCGGACTTGCAGCAGAAGATGTACCACTTGTTCTTCAGCTGCGAGTGGACCCGTATCGCGTTGCGCACCGTCACGCCGGAGAACTCGTCTGTGCGGGAGGGGGGGGGGGGGGAGGGGCGGGTCAGCAGCGGGTCACGCGGGCCCGGTCGGCCGCCGCCGGCCCCACTCAGCCCAGCGGCTGTTCACGAGCGCGGGCTGCGAGGCTGACGTTCGCGCGGACGCCCCGGCCACCAGATCTTAGCGACGGACCACATCCAATCCACATGTCCACATGAATCCACATGAATCAAATCCAAATAAATCTACACGCAATCACGCACACAACACGGCTTTCAGGCGTCGTCATCCTGCGCCCGTTCCCTTCCCCCGTCGCGTCTGCTCACAGACGCACAGCCAATGGAGCATGACAGCGGGCAGGGCGGAGCGCACGACAGCCCGGTCAGAGCGCCCACCTTTTCCGTCGAGCAGGTCGACCACCTGGGCCGTGTCCAGGTTGATCCGGCCGCGGAACTGCTGCACGCTGCGCTTCAGCAGGTCCTGCCGGGCGGAGGAGCGCGGCTCAGACCCGGTCACGGGGTTCGCGCACGCTACCCCCGCCTCCCAGCCCCGCCCGCAAGGCAGGCTCATCCTCGTGACCCTTCGGAACACTGCGTGGGCTATGGTGACACGGAGACGTGTCGCTTTGAATCATGAGCACTGGCGGGGCGGTTTGAGCGTTGACACAAATGTACCGATTCAGATCAGCAGGAAAGAGCGCCGGCATCTGTGAGGCTGCTGGTTCACTCTTTCAAACACCATCATACATGGACAGCCGGGTCTCAGTACAGCACCCACCCTGCGGCAGTAGATGAGCACGTGGTCGAACAGGAAGAGGGTGCAGACCTCCTTCGACCAGCTGGAGGAGGTCAGCTTGCTGACCTCACCCTGGTGGATCAGCTCCGAGCTCGTGTCAAGCAGGTTGGGGCCCTGCGTCGAAGGAAAAGGCGGCGTCAGAACTGAGTTAATGATTCAAGTACGGCCTTCATGAGAGTGAGACGTTCATCACCACCACGGCCTGCTACCGGACTCGCAGCTTGTCGTTTATCACGATGCCGGGGTCGTCAGTGCGCAGTTTAACCCATTAGCCCACCCGTAAAGCCATGAGATTCGATGGAGCGTCGCATCAGCGGTCTATATAACCCGCAGTCGGGTCAAATCAAATACCTAACAGACAGAGACGCAGCAACGTCGTGGGGTCCCAGCAACAGCGCAAATAGATAATATCGCACCCCTGGCGCTAAAAGGCGGCATCTGGAACTATGCCGTCCCGTGAGCAGACAAATTATCGTGACAAATCGCAGAAGCAAAGCCCCAACTACTTTTGCCGTCAACCACAAGCCGCCACAGCCACATCCATTTTTCATCGTCAGTTATATAAACAGTCCTGATCCGCAGACCGGTTCCCATCTACAGACCTCGCCGCCTACAGATCGCGAGCAGGCCAGGGAACGTGCGGAGCTGACCAGGGGCTGGCCGCGGAGAACTCCCGCAGCCCAATCTGCCCATGGGGACAGGTCTCACCCGCCCTCTCGAACGCCCCCAGCTCGAGGCTGACGTGCTGGCGCGGTCACCAAGCCCCGGACCCCGGCCGTTCCGCCCCGCACCCGGGCCGCCGCCGTCGCCGGCGCACTCACCATCCAGCCCTCAACCTTCATCTGCCAGGCGGCCAGCTTCTCGAGGCTCTCCATACGCCGCTTGGACTCGTTGACGCCCACGGCCACGGCCTTCATCACCGCCTGCGCCTGGCGCACGTGCTCGTAGTCCGGGTGGTCCGCCTGCCGGAGGGCGCACGCGCGTGACGTCACCGCACGGGTCAGGGGTGAGTCAGGGATCGCCACACCCGCAGAAAGGTGGGCCATGCATGTGACGTCCGAAAACGTTACGGGCGTTTGCGTCGCCACCCTACCCACCGGCCGAAAGCAGCGTCCAGTATTTACGTCGGAAATATCAGGGTGCTTCGAGCATGAGCCACTCTTCATACGGCTCCGGGGGGAAAGCGCCCGCCAGTGTTTGTTTTGATTTTAGTCAGCACCGATCGCCAACGATGACAGCAAAGCGCTTATTCATTCCATCAGGCTGCTGGCAGGCCCAGAGACCGGCCTTCCGTGCATCGCTGTGCCAACGGAGCACGCGGTCACATCCACCGTCCCAGCGACAAACCCGAGCGCAGCAGTGTAAAGCGCACGGCGGCCCCCGCACCGCCAGCGCCGCCCAGCTCACCTTGGTGTACTTGAGCAGCTCGGCCAGCTGCAGCGGGTACTTGCAGATCTTCTGGATGGGCGTGAGCAGGAAGCCGTCGAGCGAGATGTCGATCATGTCGCGCAGCAGGCGGCAGGCCTCGAAGAAGTGGATGTAGCGGTTGTTCTGGTACAGCGTCTGCAGCTCCGACACCGCCGACGGGTGGTTGTTGCAGTACTCGGCGTAGATGGAGAAGCCGTGCTGCTGCGGGGCCAGGTCAGGCGGTCAGATCGGCGGCCCGGGGCCGGTCGGCGGGCCCCGGCCAGGGGGTCAGGGGGTTAGATCGCCCGGAGCGCCACCGAGGGTGAGGGAGGCACCATGGCGCTGTGACGTGGACTTTGGGAAAAATTTGCCCAAAAAGCAGCGCGCTCTCGGGAAACACATGTCCCAACCAATGTCGATCAACGTGACCTGGATCGCGCTCAAAATCACCGGAGACTGCCTGACACCTCCGGCCACAAGCCATCACTGCCGAAATCGACCACCACACAGGATTGGAGTCCACGTATCGAGAAACGAGTCTGCCGCGCTGAAGGCAACACTGCTACACCGACCACCTTCCGCCAGCTACAGTGCCGAACAAGGCGTGCTCAACAAGGCGTGAAAGCTGTTCGGCATCAGGCACTTATCCAGCGGCAGACTACGGACTCGCACAAAACATGGTCACTTCAACAACTGCACGCAGCACCTCCGGATCAGCGTATTAGCAAACAGCCAGTTCAGCCCGCTCACATCCGCCCCAAACACCTCGGGCCTAAACGCCACGCATCCACACACCACAGCAGCAAGCTCCTCCGGACACTTACAAACTCGACGAACACCTGTCCGATGCAGCTGAGGTGCGGGCGGGCGCGGTCGACGCGGCTCTCCAGCCGGCGCAGGAACTCAAACTGGAACCGGTGCAGCTCCTCGATGTTGCCGAATATGGAGGTGACGTGCTCGGGCGAGAACAGGTCGGGCCGCCGCACCACCTGGCGCAGGTATCCCTGCCGGCCGAGGAGCCACTGAGCGCGCGCGCCCCGCCAGCACGGCCCCGCCGCCGAGCTCACCGACGGGCAGTGTAGGGAGCGTGAGAGGTTTCAGGTGGCTTGGCTTGGGTCGTATAGCTCGTGGCGCTACAGGCCGCGGCTTTGGGCTTGAGGATGGTCCTCTGGGGTGTGAGGCCAGTAAAGCCCGACAAGCAGCCAAGTGGAGACTGTGTTATGAGCTCCACACACTGGTAGCGTGTGCATGCACGACAAGGGTGAACACGTTTGCGCAAATGCGCTCAAACACATGTTTACGTTCACCAACAAGCAACACATTAATGCAGCAAAGGATGCTAAGCCAGGTCCAACTGCCCACTCTTTTCTACACCCGCACAAAGCAACCGACCAGTTCAAGGCATAGCAGCCATCTCCAACACATCCGACACCGGCCGCACCCCAGGCTCGCGGTCACGCGGGCCAGCAGCCGCTGCCTCACCTCGATGACGTTGCCGACGTCCTGGACGAAGGCACGCTCGGAGCTGAGGATCTCCATGACGACCTTGGCGCGCACCTGGTCGTGCGAGAGCAGCGAGATGGACTGCTTGCGCGCCAGCTGCGGTCGCGCCGTACCGGACCGGATGGCGTCCAGCGTCTCCTCCACCGTCTCCTCCTGGCTGACGCGCAGCTGCGGGCGGGGTCAGCGGTCACGCCACGGGTCCAAACGAGATCCGGGACGTGACCGCGCATCGGGCAAACTGGTCAAACGCGGTGCGGTGTTCAGCCATTCCTGCCGCAGAGTTGGCTTCCTGGCCAATGTTATGCGGACGCCGGTGAATGTTTTTTGTCTGTGGTCGTTACAACCATCCACGCGGGCCTCACTGTGCAGCTCGCAGCTGTACCAACCACGCCTTCGACGTCCGCCACTCACACCCTGAGACACCCAACCCGTCACACCCTGCACACATTCCTCCCTACTCTCGTGTTCTCATCTCCAGCGGGCCGCTGTCGGGCCCGGCTCGCTCTGCGCGGCGTGCGGCCGGCACTCACCCGGACGAAGGCGGCCATGAACCAGCCCTGGCTGCCCTGGTGGGCGCCGTACCACCAGTGCCGGTCCGAGCAGTCGTGCACCTCGATCACATCGCCGGCCTTGAAGGCCAGCTCGTCCGGGTCCAGGGTGATGTAGTCCCAGTGCGCCTCGGCGTACACCACCGACTCCTCGGCCGGCTCGAAGATGCGCCCCAGCTGCCGGACGCGGCCCGCGGTCAGCGCCAGGGGCAGGGAGCGTCTTGTGGCGGGGGCTCGTGCGGGCTCAGAGCGGAGATCAGAGGTGGGTCGGTGAGGCGGTCAGGGAGGGGCGAGCAGCGACGCTCCGTGTGGGGTTCAGGCAGGGAGTCAGGGAGGGGGACAGAGCGGCAGGACGAGGGTCTGGGCGGCTGCTGCTCGGCAGAGCATCGTGTCGTTGCGGCATCTAGTGCTGCGTAGGCCCTGCCCAGCACTGGCGCCGCGCTGGGGACACGTGGAGGGGCACAAACAATAGGAGGCAGCGGGATAGGAAGACCATAGGAAGACCATACCTGGTCAAGGATCCATTCACGGGGCACGAGGCGCCAGTCGACGGTGCATGGACCGTACATCCCACTGTGGGGGACACAGAGGCTAGCTAGCGCGGGCTCAGAGCGCCCACAGCGGCCCGCCCTGCAATAAACCACGCCACACGGTGCAATGAGCCGGCTGGTCTGTCGGAACGCTACGGCCATGATAACGACCACGCACCACCCGTCAAACAGGCGCATCATCCGACAACCTCCCATCCGTGCCAAATATACAACGCTCGCCTCCGACCGGCGCGCTCCTCAGCGCGGAGAGCGTCCGGCCGGCGGCCGCCAGCGCCCGCCACCCACCGGTCGCCGCCGGCCCTCGTCGTCCGAGAGCAGTTCGTCGTCCGACTCGGAGATGGCGTCGTCGTCGGTGGCGTGGCCGGCCACGGGTGGCGAGAGGCGGCGCGGCCGCGGCGGCGACGGCGCCACGCTCGGGTCCGAGAGCGAGCGGCGCAGCCTCGAGGTGCCGCGCGCGCGCGCCAGGCTGCTGAGCAACGGACGACAGGCGTGAGCGGGCATCAGCGACCGTTCGCGACACGGACGAGCAGCGGTCGCAGCCGGCTGTGAGGGGCCTCTGCGGCGCGTCTGCCCACACTTGAAGTGACGAGAGAGCTGCGAGTGTGATTTTTGACAGGCTCCACGGCCCACGAGTGGATCGACGTGCGGTGTTTGTTTTGCCGCGGTCTCCCAGGTGCAGGAGTCGCATGAAGTGTTTGTCTGGATAGATGCATGCACCGGCGGACACACCGTACCAACCATCGGTCACCAGCCATCACAAACACACCCGGGGAACAATGACCGCTCGCAGCTCAACAGCGCCTTCCGGTCATCTAGATCAAGATAGCAAAGCCACGCTGCACGCACAAAGAACGCTAGTTTGCCCGTGCCGTTATAATGACGTCCCGCCCTCCTCCCAGCCCTGTTCACTTCTCACCACACTGCGTTCTGGCTCCCCAACCTCAGACTTATGGCGCTGATCTGGAGATAGTCACGACAGGTTACAACCGCCACCCCGCACCGGGCTGTCAACCTCTGCTCGACGGTCGTCCCTAGTCCTCCCCGGCGGCCAGACTTCCGCGGCACAGCAACAGCGCCTCCCCCGGCCGCCGTGCGTGAGCGGGCCCTGACCTCTTCCTGAGCCGGTGGTGCTGGCGGCGGCCGACGGTGGCCGGGTGCTCGTTGATGGGCGCCGGCTGCGACATCTGGCGGGTGTAGCCGCGCACCAGGTCGCTGCCGAGGTCCGAGTGGGTCCGCCGCACCAGCTTACTGCGCCGCTTTACCTCACTCTGCAGGCCCGCCTGTTGGGAGCGGCGGACGCGGGTCACACGTCGGTCACACACAGGCGGCGCGCATACGCAGGGGGAGCGAGCCGCGGTGGTCATTCTCAGCGAAACAGCACTGAAGGTGGGGCGGGGGGGGGGGACCAGCGTCATGTAGATCTCACGATGGCTAGCACCCGTTCCTTGACCCGACCAACTAAATGACAACACCGACCACAGGTGCGTAAGGCAGCACGGCCGCCTCCGCAGCTCGCGCGGCGTCTGGGCCGACGCCGCACCGCTGCGGACGCCGGACATCGCGACAATCAGCGTGCTATGTGACGCATCGGTGCGGAGCAGCATCCGGCTCTGCACCGCAGGGGTACCGGCCCGGGGGCGACATCCTGACCACGTCAGCGGCGAGAAGCATCGCAGATGCCGAGAAGGCCGCCTACCGACAGCGCGCGGAGCCGTACAGCGCGCTGAGTCACAGGGCTCCGCACGGCGTCACAGAGCTACGACGCTGCTACGCACAGCATCACAGAGCTCAGCACAGCGTCACAGAGCTCAGCACGGCGTCACAAGGCTCCGCACGTCACAGAACTTCACCCAGCGTCACAGTGCTACGACGCTGCCATCCACCGGGTCACAGAATTCGGCACAGCATCACAGAGCTCCACACAACGTCACAGCACTACGACGCTGCTACGCACAGCATCGCGGAGCTCAACACAGCGTCCTGCCAAAGCGGCCGGGGACGCAGCCACGGCCAGCCGATAAGCGGCAGTGGCTGATAAGCGGTGGCGAGGCCACACCACAGCGACTCGACACAACGCAAAACACGCAGCAGCAGCGGAACGTCACCATGGCCTCGCACCCCGCCGCGACCGGCCGCCGCCCGTGAGGTGCGAGCCCGACGCCCGACCACAGCTGGCTGGCTGCAGCCGTCACGGGCGTGTCGAGTTCGCTTTCGGCGAGCGGCCGGCGCGGACCGCGCGGCCTGGGAGCGCGCGAAAGCGTGGTATCGACTGTCGGCGGACGACCGCGAGCGGCCGCGCCGCCGGCCTCGGCGACAGTCCCACGGGGAGACTTTTACCAGCCGGCGCTGCCAGCGGGCAGCCAGGCGACGGGGCAGTGAGGCGGCCCGCAGGGCACGAAAGCCGACCAAGCAGGAGCGTGTCATGGCTCAACACTAAGTGTATGCGGGGGGGGGGGGAAGGGGGGGCGATCATACCAGGAGTTAGATCAGAAGCCACGCACCGCTCCACAGATGATACCGCGGGCCGCGAGGCGAACGACGTTACGCACTTTCCAGCGACGTCACCACTAACAAACAAGATGACGTCGGAAGCCGAGTACCGCTGCGACGCGGCAAGGCTCCGCCAAATGACGACACGCGCGGCGCGACCGCCAGTCCCTCTCGCGGCCCGCCACAGGCACGAGCCTTCACTCCGCGCGCGGCGTCACACTCCTCCGCACTGTTCTACGCGGCGGCCGGCTCGGGAGAGCACGTCCGCCCCGCCGGCCCGGCGTCCCGGACGTGGCGTCAGCTGGCTGCGGTCTGTAGGGCCAACAGCCGCCGCCGGGGCGCCGGCCGCGGCGGAACGTCACTTGGGACGGTCAGCCGGCGCGGGCCGGCCGGCTGGCGCGAGCTGCAGCCCGGTCAGACCGCCGGCGAGCCGGGGGCCGCGCTCCGACGCGCTGGTGCGGATCCGACTGCTGCCTTTCAGAGATAGTTTTGCCGCTAGTGATTCGGGCAGTGTTTGGGCGCTGCTACCGTCCAGACGGCCTGTTGTGACGCCGAGCTGTGAACAGCGGGGCCATGCCGCCTAGCCCATCGTGTCGACCGTCAGCGCCTATCAACGCTCCCACGAGCCGCGAGCGCTCCACCACAGGCTGCCACTGATAACACTGCCACCCCGGTTTTCCCGATGTCGCCGGTGCGCGGCCAGTTTCAGCGGCCCGTGCCGCTTCGACGCCCCCGTCGTCACCGTGTCGTCATCGGGGTTGTGTGGCGCACTCAGCTGCTAGGTTACACAGCGCCGCCTGCCGACCGCCCAGGCGGGAAGAGCGGGCGCCGCGGGGATCTTATTGCAGAGGCCTGACTGCAGCGGGCGCCGGCCGTCCGTCACGATGCCGCTCAGCCGCGTCACACTGTCATGTGACCGGCCGCCGGTCACCGACCGGTCACGTGACGGCCACGTCACAGCGGTGGCCTGGCGCGATGGAGGGCGCAGCTTTCGTCCTCAGCTTCGGCGAGGACAAGAACGAACACGGCCGCCGCCGCCGCTGCCAGCGACAGCAGGATGTCGCCAGGACTCGGTGGCTGCCGCTGAGGCTGAGGCGTCGTCGGTCCGTCATGACCGCGGCCGGTTCAGTCAGCGCGCGCATGACTGCCAGTGCCGCTGACCCCGTGTGGAGCAGGCGTCGGCCGTGACTGTCCCCGCGTCGGGTCACAGGGCCGCCTCCGACCGTGACCTTCCCTGCCAGAGGTCATCGGTCCGCCAGCCGCCCTGACTCCCGGACCGCACTATCTGCGCTCCTATCTGGCGCGCACGCACGCGAGTGGCGCGCCCCGCCCGCCTATCTACTGCCGACACGGTGGAGGGAGCCGCCGACCGGCCGGCCGCAGCCGGCGGGGCGGCGCTGGTGACCGGCTGGTGGGGCGGCCTTTGTTGGCTTTGTCAGGCCAGCATCTAGCGTCCGTAACGGCGCGCGGTCACATGCACACGTGTCGCTCATAAAGGTATGGTACGATTGAAACTCTGTGATTCTAGATTGATTCTGACATGCGGAAAGATGTCGGCGATTAGACTGAGGCACGTGCTTATCTAATGTAACTTCATGGTTTCTTCATAAGAACAGAGAAATCCGCAACGGCGAATTCTCCATAGGCGGAGAAACCATCCAAGAATTCTCGGCTTTTGCTCAGATTCCATCGCAGGGTGACACATTCTGAACAAGGAGTCTCTCAGGGAAGCCGTTGAGACGGAATTGGGGTCATAAATACAGTTTTTACTGTCACCGTGAAACACTTCCCTGACAGCGCTTTTAGAGAGCCACAGTAAAACATTAACACTTTCGGTCGTTCGCCCCTTTTGGGGAAATTACTTCAACTTTTCCGCTCACTCATGCACGAAGTAGCCTAATTCATTATCTCCTAAACTGCAATATAAATGCTACCCAAGGAACTGTCTTCGGTAAAATGCAAGATGTCCACTGAAATATCGTTTCTCTATAAACTGCACCTGGAAGTATTAAAACCACAACAGATCACGACAGCTGAAGTCTACTGGCTTGGCGCATTACCAGACAAAGGAACCTATGAAGGGCACCTTGCATCAACCCTGATTCATCGTCATCGATGCGCGCGTCCAATTAATCAGCAAGGCAAAACCATGCAACAGCGATTCATCGCAGGGTGGACGCTTTAGATTGAAATTATCCCCGTTCTAACCGAGAACGGACATCACACCACGTCATCCGTCCATCAAACCGGCGCCGGGGACCGTGGCCTCCCCGTCGCCCCGCCCAACCTCGTCATCTCTCACCTTGATCTCCTCGATGATGGAGCTGCCGGAGATGTCGGAGAGGGGCCGCTTCTCCCTGCGCGGCTCGGCGCCGGCCGGCTCCTCGGCGGCGCCGGCGCTGCGCAGCCGGCGCCGCACGCTCGGACTCTCGGCCGGCCCGGCCGCCGCCGCCGCCGCCTCCATCTGGATGCCACTGTCGCCGCTGTCGGCGCTCGAGCACTTGGCGCTGCGCGCCTCCTTCTTGAGCCGGCGGCGCCGCTCCTTGCTAGAACGCCAGGCGCGCGGCACCAGCCTGCGGTGGCAGGTGGGCGTCAGGCGGGGCACGCGCCCGGCAGCGGGGAACGCGGACTCGGCAACGCGGGTCACAAGCGGGCAACGTCTGTTTATCGTGATTATCGTTCATTATAGTTGTGGCGGGGAATAGCTTATCACCACTGTAAGGTAGGCCGACCATTGCATTGCCCACATCGCTTTTCCTGAAGGGACATTAACTTCGGAACTTTTCGTACGACATTTAATACCATGAACTACACAATTCCTGGAGAATCCAGTCAATATCTGGCCGTGAGCATGCTTAACACTATCATGAGCCGACATCACTAGACATCTCCTTTAAACCGAAATGCGCATTCGGTGCACAGGCCAGTGCATTCAGTGTCAGGTGAAAAAGCGGAGGCCAGTGCGGTCAAATACAACTGTTTGCACTAACTGATGCAGTCACGGTAAGGTTAGCTGTTGCTGTCGACTGTTCAAGGGCTCTGCCCTTCGCAAGGTCGACCCCACGTCAACAAGCCGCTGAATGGCACGATGTTTCGGTCCTGATCACAGTCCGTCAGACTGAAGCGTAATCTGCGGCTCATACAATGCCGCCGCTACACGCTCCAAATCCGATTCTGGGCAATAATGGCACAAGCGCATGAGTTATTGCCGCACCGCACGCTGTGAGCGCAGGGTGTGCATTGCTGCAAAACGCGAAACGACAACCATTTGGTCACCGATGCCACGCTGTGTGCAAGGGTTCATGCGTCCAGAAAAACGAGGACCTAAATGCTCAGCAGCCATGACATGTTATCTCTTTCGCCCCACTTATCAACAAAAGCTGATATTCATTACATATAAATTACCCGGATGTGCGTTTGACCTCCTCCCTTTCAGCCCGACATATCTACGGCCAAACTCCACGTCTGACCCCAACCCACACCGCTACCGCCTCTCTCGGACTCTCCCACGCTTTCCCAGAGCCCCCCCCCCCCCCCTCTGATGTCAGTGGTCGACATGCGCCGCGCCGTGCCCCGCCCCGCCCCAGGCGCCTCACCTGAAGCCACTCTCGGTGTCCGAGTCGTCCCTGGCGCCGGCTCCTCCGCCGCCGCCGCCGCCGCCCCGTTCGTCGGGCCTCTCGGCCGGCCTTCCCTGCACGCCGTCGGCCGCCGCGCCGCCGCCGCCGGCTGGCTCCGAGCCGTCGACACACCCTGGCTCCGGCCCCGGCTCCGGCTCCCGCTCCGGCTCCTGGCGGCGGTCGGCCGGCGACGCGCTGCAGGAAGGCGCCGCAGGCTCCGCGCACGCGCCCCTCTTGTAGAACCGTAAACTGAAGCTTTTACGGAATTTCTGCAAGACGCTCTCTGTGGACGAGGCGGTGTGATTAGCACGGCACGAATGCCGAACAAGAGGACAGGGTATGTACTTCGCGACAGTGCTCGCAGCAACGACGACTCCAGTTGGGAGCAATGAGGGACGGCCAGTACTACGTGTGTTGTGATTTTGCTGCGCACTGTGTCATGCATACCACAGTATGTATTACACTTGATTTATATAATAACAATAGGTAAACGACTAAAGCAACAAGCAACACTGCATTCCTCCCACCTGCCCATTACTAATAACATGTCTAAGTCAATATTGGATGGCTGCCACAAGTGATCCTGACCAAGTCACAGCACGGTTGACAGCACGGCTGGGAGACCCCATTTCCACTCGATCTAAGCCGCGTTTGATGTATCCCATTAACACCTTTGGTAGCCAGGCCTTGAGCCATATCCCTGATCCCACATGTCTGTGGGATCACAGCTCATGGCTCGGGAGTGAAGATATGGCCTGACCTGAGCTGGGGGTCGGGGAGGGCGCCCCTGGGTTGTTCTGCAGCGATCCTGGGCCCCACCGCCAGGTCCTCCTCGGTCGGCAGCGGCGACACGGACGCCTCTGAGTTGGCCGACAGCATGTCGGCGTCCTGATCACCGTACACAGTTGACCACGTCCTGCCAGCAGCCAGACACAATGTGTGAGGCACAACTGGAGACCACACGCAAGGGCACACAAGAATGCCAGAGCCTCAATGGCTTGGTTGGACTTTTTAAACCAGCCTCGAGATGCAGCACATCCAAGAGCTTCTTGATAACTTGTGCTGTAGGAAACAAATAGACAATGTGGGTTAGCCATCAAGCAGTACATACAAGTAACATTAAAAAGCAGATGTACAGGAATATAGCATATATAAAGACAAAACATGCATTATAATTTATATATCGGCATGTCATTTTAATGTTTTACAGTTTTTCTGCTTCAGATGTGCTATGTAAAAACATGGGTACCTCTGACACCTTGTGGTAATTTCATACCTATATTGGCAAACATAATTAATGAAGTATTTCCCAGACCATTTGTCTTCATAATGTGGCAGCACCTATGACAGTGGTACTGTTGATCACTCATACCAGCATGAGCAGGTGCTTCATGTCCGCCATCACAATGCAGCTTCATGCTCCAAGCACCTTTGGTTTATGTAGTTCTGCCTGGACAGACCCTTTCATTTTGCTGTTTGAGTCTTTTCTGCCACATTCAGTAGAGGCAACAATTAGTAGAGCAAATATGGGAACAACCATTTTATGCACTGACATAACAGAACAGAGAAGTTAAGTTATAACAGAGAAGTTTACCAAAATATCATTACACACATGTTTTTATCTCCTCTATAATCATGCACAGGGAATAAGACAATAACTGTACTTTATGTATATTACTGCTTCTTGCCAGATTGAAAACCTCAAACATGGTTAGCTACTTGATGTCTGAAATATATTAGTTGATCTGATGGAAAGAGCAAATCAAGGTACATGGCACCTACAAGATATCAGTTTTAGCACAATTTTGATGACTACACATGTCTGGCAAAACAGCAACAATTCTCCGAGTTTGTTACATGGCCATCCCATATGCTAGCATACAGCCAATGCTTTAAAGCATTGTGATGTTACAATGAACATTTCAGGCAAATACTTTGAAAACACATTGCCACAAAATCTGATACAAAATTTCAGTATGATGTTAACTGGCCTGAGTTTGACACATGTACATGCATGGCTCAGCACAATGATGATGTGCAGGCATCCCACACAGTAGATCAGTTTTTAGCAGGCTGGCCCATTAGCCCCTGCCTTCAGTTTCAATGGATTTACTGGTGGCCATTTCGCTCCTTTAAGTTTGGGCAGTCTGTAGAGTTGCTTGAAAGGCAATTACAACTTTTCCCAAAGTGTGGCAAGTGGACAAACTGCACGATCTCAGTCAGAGTCAAAAGTCCATACAATCACATGCATGCTCAAAACAGCTACAGATTGAGCCACACAGGGCATAAGAACGAAAAAAATGCAACGGTTTGAAACCCACTCCATGAAGGTGCCACTTAAACAAAACATGTCGACTTTCAGCGCCCCCCCCCCCCCCCCCCCCGAGGAACCGTAGCAAGCCATTTATCAATTGGCCATTACGCTCCATCAGTCGGCTTACCCTGGAGCGTCTGCAGAGCTTACATCCATTTCTTCGTTGCCCATTCCTAAAGCCTCCATTCAGCCTAGCCACGACTGACTGTCCTTCGCTTCGACACCGAAACCGTGCACAAATATAAAATTATAAAACCCCACAGCGTGCACTCCCCCCACATCAAAACACGAGCATCCAGCACTGGTCAAAAATAAATTACAATATCAGCCACGAGCGCCGCACTTCGTTCACGAACGCATAGCGATATTTGGTAGCAAAGAGCCCATATCTATAATCTGAGTATATCTTTCTCAAATTTCAAGTTTTATGGCACGAATGTGAACGAATTTCAGTATGGACATGACCTGTCGAAAAAACTATCACATGCCGTCAAGCCTATAACAATAAAACTGACTTTCAAGTAGCTCGCATCGCCGCACGAGACCCTGACTAAATCAACAGAGATATCCCAAGTGGGAACTACGAGGCCGTTTGTTTATTGGGCGCCTGTGGGAAGGTCGACGGCGCAGCGTCGCTCTGACAGCGGCCGTTGGAGTTTAAACGGCCGCTCTCGAGCCGGTCGTCTAGCGACCGTGCCAACGCCATTATACATGGCCAACCATACATGGTTAGGTTAAGGCCAGCACGTGATAACATCTCGACTGTTCGAACGAAAATACCATCGTGAATGCCGGGTTGGGGCCAACGATGTCTGCGTGCCGATTGGCCGCGCATGGCATGCTGACGGCAGGCGAGTGTCCTGTGTATGGTGATGCATTTTTGAGCCAATAAGAACCGTACGAATGTAGGACATGTGTGAAATTTGCCTCTGATCTGCAGGTCTATCCACGCATGGGCAAGGAAACCGAGCACGCAAGATTGATGAGAATGCCTAACCGCGGAAGCGATAAAAAATGAGAGCGTTAGTAGCTATGTCGGCCGCACCGCAGGGCAGTTTCGACTGCAACTGCGGAGTGGGTTTGTTGTAGCCTCCATGTAACCACAAATGTCATGGAACATGCCCGGCCCAAAGCGCAATCACAGAATAAATATGCGCTCGATGGAATGATGGGATGGTATCACATACAAAGAACGTCGTCTTCGCATTCCCTCACATTTCACAAGAATTCACCCGGGCGAGACGTGCTATGAAAACCATCGTGTTTACAAAACTGTCACTGCAATCATTTTAAGAGAAATGGGCCGATGACGAAACACTTGCATCACTAAAGTGATGCGGACCCCACTGGACGCTCCGCTGCGGATAAATATTGATCTGTACGCACCAGAGCCAAATGATCAAAGGTGAACAGCACACGAACTTATTTTTTTAAGCTGAACCCTAACCATCATTCTACATCGAAGGTTTTCGAACAAAGCGCCTCCACCAGTGAGCAAACAGCGATAATAAAGTAATATCCAGGCGCAGTGATGAGAGACTGAAGTGACCAGTCATGCGTGGCGTCCACAGAGCCGCTCCGGTGTGAATGACCGATCAGGGACAACTCTGGCGGCAGCTGGCTGAGACAACACCACCGCCCTCGCCGTTACAACAATCAAAATTTGAATATGGAAGGCAGAGTGAACGATGGCAAGGGAATAAATCTTAATGCCCATTTTCTGGGCTTTCATTTTCCAGTAGTCGAACATCTTCAAAGTGCACTTAATCGATGCCTTTTCATAAGAGGCAGCTTGTCACTAGCACAGTACAAAACGGTTTGTAACTAGCACAATATAAAACAAACATAGGCGCGCTGAAGGCTTTGTCGCAGAATGCCACAAAATTAACGCAGCTTTACGAAGATAAGTGTGAAATACCAAAACGTGGTACACTATAATGATACGCATTATATTAGTTGCATTGCGACGCGTCATATCGTCTTCATCAGTGCATTAAAATTGTGTTGACACGACAATGCTTGTAGCGTAGCCTGGTATAGCTGAGGTGACGGGCAGTAGGTAGCATAAGCCCGCCCACAAAAAAGTCTGCGACCCTGAGACATTTGTTCGAGTGTGCCTCAGCGTGCCCCTGAAATGGAGAGCTATCTCCACATTCTATTTTTTTATGACTTACCAAGAGTCCAAGGCTATTAGTTTTTGTTGAGCTCGTTATCTCCTGGTCGTGTAATCTGTGATAAAAGAGCCATCTACTTGTCTCACTTACGTTCTCCACTACCCAACAGTGGATCCGTGCTAACATTAAACTGCCCGGTTTCTGCCACCAAAGCTCACGTCTTGACAAAGCTACCACCTGCCTACCGTCATGCCGGCTCTGCTGAGAAAAGTAGCATCCAGTTCAATATCATTTCGCAACCACTCCCATGAACGGCATTACGCACCGCCCATTCCCCTTCACCTGCAGATGTTTTGTCGCACGTCACCCACCTGCGCACGTCCCACTCGGAGCTGGAGGTGCTGTTGCGACGGCCGGGCAGCACCGGCGAGCTGGACGCCTTGAGCTGACGCTGCGTCTTGGACACGCCCAGTCGGCGCCTCTCCGGACCGCTCGCCGCCTCCCGACAGTCCATCTGCGGGGGGCGGGGCGGGTCAGGTCAGGCACGGGTCGGCGGGCGGGGTCAACTGAGGCGCGGGTCGGCGGGCGGTCTGGCGGCCGGGCTGCCGACGCGGGCGGCGCAGCAGACTGCCGGCTCCCCACGGCCGACACACCGAGCGGGGTTGTTTACGGCATCAGTACCGATCAGCCTGATATCGTTCCGGCGACGAACCGGCCTGACTCCGTAACGTAGCACCACAGGCGGTGCACTGACCACCGACACCGGCCGCCGCCTCGCCAGCGGACGGAGGACTGAAAAGCACAGCGCAGGCACAGACGTGAGGTCACGCGGGAACGTGAGTCCACGCCGCCGTTGTAACACTGAGCTCCAGGCGCATGCACCAAGTCCTGTACCAGGATGCCCGCGCGCTTCGCACCGCGCACGTACACGCTGTGTGGAGCTCGGAGCGTCCGCCTCCTTGTCGCGTCCCCGCATTCCGCCACGGACTGCCGGGGGCAGTCGCACCAGAACAGGGCTCACTGCACTATCGGTATCGCGGCGCGGTGACATCAGCGGCGTGTGTACGGAAAGCCCTGACATCCACACCGATCTGCATCACTCCGCAAACCGTGACGCACGGCGGCACCGGTCGCGGGTCTCGTGCGACCGCTGCAGGCGCGAGCGCATGGCGAGTTAGTCAACGAGCGAGGCCCGGTCCACCACGCTGACGGCGGGAGAGTCCCGAATGCATCGCTGTTGGAGTTACGTTGCGGTGAATAGCCTATAAACTCCCCGATCTCTACCGTCTACAAAATGATCTGATCGCTGTAAACCAAGCCTGATTTTTTGGGTGTTGTACGACTGCAGATGCATTTCAGAGCTTTCGTTTTACTGCTCACGCGGTGAGAGCTTCAGGCTTGGTCGCCCATTCGTCCCTGGTGAGTCTCTCATACGTCTTTCTGACACATTGCGCACGAGTGACGTCACTGTTACACACCGACCGAGAGGACGTGACGTCAGCAATCGCCCGAAGTCATCATGGGAACGTTCAGAGTTCGCCGGAACATGCTCTCTATGGAATGCAACGGTTCGAGTCGGCTGCGGTGCGGCTTTTCCAAAGAGAATCGTTATGGACCTCATGTAAGAGAACGCGGCACAGAGTTTCACGCTCGCGCTGCGGCATGCAAGTCACCGCAAACATCATCGCCCCATTGTTTTCCGTCAAGGTCTGTTAGCAGTCCGAATCAAACTCAAACAAGCGCGGAGCATTTTGGTTCCTCTTTTGCGCAGCGCATATTCCGTTGAGTGGGCACGACCTCGATAAGAGCGCTTCAGAACGGCGATATCATGAGATAGCCAGAAAGCTCTTGTGGGAGTCGGCGTTTAATAAAGCGATGTCAGGGACGAGTTGATGTTGGCGGCCTATTTCAGAAGTTTGGCTAGATAAGAAATGTGCCAAATCTTCCCTTTGTCTAGCACGAACATTGGGCTAGAAATGCACGCTGAAGAGCCCGTTTTGGGAGGTTTTCTACCGCTCAGGACCTCAGACATATAGTTACTTACTAACCAGCGCGAACCGTTATGTGACGTGAAACGAGCAAGATGATGACAGGAACAAACAACACAAGCATGAGCATGACGCGAAACATAAGCATATGAAGCCAGCTGCCTCTTTTTCTTGGTCAGGTCAGTCTCCCACGCAAATCGACACAAATCCATGCTTTCCGGCTAGCTATAAACCCATTCATGGTATACATATGATATATATATATATATATATATATATATATATATATATATATATATATATATATATATGTTGACGTACAGAAGCGAAACCGGATGCTCTGTTCTCACGCAGGTGCTCTGATGTCAAAACTGATTTCCGAGGCCTGGTGCTAATCTTTAAAACATCTCGAAAATGGCGCATACATGCTTTGTGCTCTAGTGCAGATGACCTGTTGCACGCCGTGAGGCATATGTAAGCCGGATTACTGGCTCTTGCTTTCTCAGTCAACATCCCTTTATCACCTGTTGCTGCGATCCCCGCCTGTTGTCATGATCTGGGTCCGTTATCCCCCCCCCCCCCCCCTCTATGCTGTGAAGAAGTTTTCCACGTTGAAAACTGCCGTTTGCTCGCAATAAGTAAATCAGCTGAACGCTAAGACGCAACACAGCAAGATCTTTAGGCTAGGTACTTGGTCGGTTGCATATTGGGATATCGAGGTGAGCTATCAAGATGGAAGGCGTGACGCGTGATACTGCAGCCATTGCCCACTTTAGACAGTCACAAACGGCGGGACCAAACCACCAGACGGCGACACTAGTCTATGGCGTGAGAATCTGTATCATCGAACCTTGTCTCCTGCGCTGTGATCGGCACCACGGCGCCATTTGGAGTCGGCATGCCGGCGGGGAGGGGGGGGGGGGGCACCGGCTCTCTCGGTCCGCCTCGGTTCGGGGCGGTGGACCTGAGCGGACATCGTCGGCCGTGGGATCTCCCACGCGTGAAAGTCAGGGTACGGTTCTCATTGCATAATGATATCAGCCACGTGACCATCAAGCGTGTCATCTGTGCATACTGCGGGCGAAGAGTCGTTGGTTTCCGAACACAAAGCACACGGTAGCGTTCATCGACACTGCGGGTGCCGCCTCACGATCGGTACACGCGTGACGCAAACGTCACGCTGACGTCCCCGCTTAGTGATTGCATGGGAAGGACAGCGCTGGTCGGGTCACGACCCCGAGGTCGCCCCTTGCGCCCGGCGTGACCGGGAGGTCTCCCCGTTCCCGGCGGCCGCCCGCTTGTCAGCGGTAGTCCCCGGCGCGGCCAGGCCGGCCATGACGCGCTGCCTATTGTCGGACGTCACTCAGCCGAACACAAACCGTAGTCAGGCCGCCACCCCGGAGTCGGAGTGGTCCGACATCCCCCCCCCCCAAACACACACACACAGTCATTGTCCCTGGAGAGCCGTCCGTGCCGGCGCCGGCGCCGGCGGGCCGGGGCGCGGGGGGAGGGGCGCCTGAACGTGGCCGGCGCCTGTCCTGTCCCGGCTCGCGGCGAACGCGAACGGCCTTCCCCTGTCCCCCCCCCGCAGGCTTTCCGTGCGACAGGTGAAACGTGTGTCGCGCGGCGCGCGCGCACAAAGGACGCTGCCGTCAGCTGTCACCGGCGCGGCGGCGGCGAGACGCGGCGCACGTTCTGCGCCACCCGCCGCGCTTTAGATCTGAGTCAGCTGGCGGCTGGCGGGCGCGGTCAGGCACTTCCGCCACTGCACGTGTTGACCGCGGGCCGGAAACAATCGAGGGTGGCACTCAGGTGCAACGTGATATGTCGAAGTGCCCTGCCGGGTGTGTGTCAAAGCGACGCGAGTGAGGCTTATCATGCCAGCTTAAACTGAAGGCATGAGACACGCCGTTCCGCCAGAGTCGAGCACTCCGTAGTTTATGGACGCTGTTGGTTTATGTTTGTGTGGGTTTTGAAGCGTGGCAATATCCCACGTACTATTTGGAGTTGTCCCACTACAGGCCGCAATAAAGAAAGCTACTTGTCTTTCTCCAGTGAAACATCAGCTTGAAATGTCGCCACGGCAGGGTGATATTTGGAACTCGAAAATATAATCTACGCTTGCCATAGCGGCCTCTTCGGAGACTTTCCCGGATGATGCCGCATGAAATTGACAGCAAAGGACGCGAATTGAATGTTTCGGTCCAAAAACATTGCCCTTATCAGTGGAACACCGGTGAATCTGCGTATCAGCAATAGCGCTGAGTTGACTGTCGGATGTTAGACATTGGCTTGGAAACACTAAATAAATGACATTTAAACAGCTAAAATTTGTCCTCTCTCACTTCTGGAGGACGAGCAAAGCCAAACAATGGAAAATCTCCAAAGCATAACGTAACATCAAAGCCAAGAATCGTCATCGCTTAATCGTCAGCTTCCATCAGGCGCATAGCAGCTCCACACAGATGGTTTCACCCATATAGAAGAGCGCTGCTACGACATGTCTTGAGGCTGAAACGAGCATCTTCATCCAACGTGTACAAGAGTGCTACCAAAGCAGCACCGATAGTTCACTTTCCTTACGTTTGTATACGGGACCAGGCTGTAGTGCTATCGCCGGCTCAGAGTCCATTCTCTCTGCGACTGCTCTGGGTACCTCATCGTGAGCATGTCAGCTTTCTGCCCCATCCATGACACGTTTGGTGCAGGCAGGCGGTACCGACGGTGCATCGCCAGTCCGACGAGGTCCAGGGGCCCTCAACAGTCCGCAGGTCCCGTCCCCACAGGTCGGTCAAGCGCATGGACCGGGCCGCACCGCCCCGGTTCTCGCCGACCCTCGGACGCGGCAGGAGCCCTCACCACCGCCCCCGCCCGCATCCGCGCGCCCCGCGCGATTTCCGCTCACACGCCTTATTTTACGATTTGTTCTACTCCATTTTCGGGCGGTTTGCGGGAGCGTCAGTGGGTCAGTGTGCTGGCGCCGGCGGCGGCGGCGGCTGGCGCACCGGACGTGAGGCGATGCCGGCGGCAGCTGCGACGTCTGCAAGCCCGTGCTGGCGGCGCCGCGACGGCGGACTGGGCCGCGCCATCGCGACACCTGGACTGTCGCCGCAACAGCTGGAGTGTCGCCACAGCACCCGGAGAGCCGCCGCAACAGTGGCGGGCTGTGTCGGATGACACGGCATTGCGGCGGCCTGGCGTTCAAGTTTTTAATGGTAGCTAAGAAATGTGAGCACGTGAAGCCCACTTGCACTGAATCAGATAGGATTAGCAGTGCCGCCTCACGTACGGAAAATCTATATCTTTGCTTGTTCAATGCAAGTGTCTTTGGCCGCTTCAGCCCACAACTTAAGTGGCTGATTTAAAACATCATTTCAGCAACGAGCTCCAACCGACACCTAATCTGGAACAAAGACCCGGATTGGCGTCGAGTGTCGATGAGAGCGTTCATGGGAGCGTAGTCAGCGCCGATGGCCGGGGGCGGGCCGCGAGCCGCGTCGCCGGCACTGGCGGATGCGAACCGACC